TTGATAAAAGCGGAAAAATTTTCTATTCGGACTCCCAATGTAGCTCTTTGTGCGGACTCCCAGTAATGTATCACCATGTGTGTTATATTGGGCCCACCTTAAAAATTTTAAAGTGGAACCGAATACTCCTCAATAACCCAGAAATAACCCCGGAATAACCTCCGCGATGGGTTTCTCTTCAATAACCCAAAAATAACACCACAGAGGTCATTTTTGGATTATTTCGGGGTTATTGAATTTGAATATATGGTTTCTCTTCAAAAACCCAGAAATAATCTAAAAATAACCCAGAAGATGAACTCATATATTCCAATTCAATAACCTAGGAATAACCTCCACGGTTCCACTTCAATGACCCCGAAATAACCTCCGCGATGTAGAACAGATGGCGACATATTATTGTAGTCCGCATGTAAAGCTACGTTAGGAGTCCGGGCAGAAAGTTTTTTCGATATAAGCAGAGTTTGGGTGTTATATATGTAAATACTTAGGAATTGGGTGCTACGCATGTAAATTTTAGTAAAGTCACATAAAACAGCCACTGCACTTTATAACTGGATGTGTATTACATAATCATTCATAATTTTTATTTTCTTATCCTTTCTTTATGGCAGTGTGATTTCTACTCTCCCAGATCAATTGAAGGAAAAGCTTATCAGCAATCTAGAAAATAAAGATAAGTTTCAGAAACTATATGAATCAACAAAGGCAATTTCTTCCAGTAACGCATTCCAGATTTTTTACCGTTGCATGCAACAGAACGGAAGTATAAATTCTCATGAAATTGGGGGAGAATCTGAAAATAGTAGCACAAGGAATCAGCTGGATGCTCTATCTGAAGATCTTACTGTTCTTCTCCGTGATTCTGCGGAGCTTAAAGTGGATGTAGGTCAGATAAAGGCCTCAGCATTTAACGGTCGAGGTATTTAAATTGTTTATAGTAACGTTATTACATGTCCTTTTAATATAGCATATTATTTTTATCATGTTCCATTATATATACACAGCCATAACAATCTTACTAATGTTAATTAAAATAGCTTGATTGTATTGAATAAATTGGCTAAAATAATTCGGAAATTTACATACATACCATACCATACATAGGGGTGTAAACGAACCGAACACGAACGAACAGAGCTTGTGTTCGTGTTTGGTTCGTTTGAAATTTAGTTTGTTTGAAATAAGGTCGTGTTTGAAATTGTTAGTGAAATCACTGTCCGTGTTCGTTTCTTAATAAACGAGCCTAACACGAGCTGTTCGCGAATGACAAGCTAGTTTGACACCCCCAATATTAATATATATAAATAATATATTATATTAATTAAATAACTTATATTATATAAATATATAATATTTATATTAATATATTACTAATATAGTATATTAATATATTATTCTTACTAATTTATTATATATTATAATTTATATAATTTAATTTTTTAAAACATCATCAATTTTTTATATATAATTATTTTAAATTATTTTATATTTCGAACAATAGCGATTTGAACACGAGCGAACACATCACTGTTCGTGTTTGGTTTGTTTAACTAACCGAATGAAAAATAATTGTTCACGTTTGTCTTGTTTACTTATTGAACGAATCGAACACTAACTCTTTGACGAACCGAACACGAACTGTTCGTGAACAACGAGCTTTTTTGACAGTTTTCATTCATCTAAACTCCAAAATTTGAATGAACTGAAAAAAGCTCGTCAACCCCTAGCTTTCGTAAAATAAACTCGTCAGTCCATCAAAATCTTATACCTATCAGTTTTCATTCATCTAAACTCCAAAATTTGAAATTTATGGTTTGAAATTTCCATAGAATAATTGTACAAGTGCAATATCATTTTCATTTACTGATCAATTTACTTGGACTGAGGACTTGTAAGGCTTTAATACAGCATTTATATCTTCCGGTCATATTTCAGCACTATTGAAAGTCTTTTTTCTTTTATTTATTTTTTTAATTAACTTAGGAAATGTAATTTCTTTACTTTTATTATTATTATTTTTTTCCTTTTTATAGTTTCCAACAATAAATTTCATGAATAATTTTTTTTTATCTATGCATGGGCTGATTGATTACACGGTTAAATTTAATTTGAAATTAAATTTAAATTTGAAATGTTTATTTGGATTGGACTAAAACTAGGAAAATGAAATAAATACAATAAATTGTTTTTTTTTTTTTTTTAAGAATGACTGGAGGCTGTTAATACGAGCCCCAAGCGACTCTCATGTGCCTAATAACTCGATCCCGCGTTGATATACAGACGAATTCAGACGGACTCGAATCTGTGATCTCAGGGGACTTAAAATTCAGTTTGTTGATGCCAACCAAAGAGTCACAGCGAGCAGCACATATATAATAATTTGATAGTTAATTATGAATCAACATTGGTTATTTCTAAATTTTTATTCCCATTTTAGGATTTGTTCGGCTAAGCTCCTTCAAAAGTCTCGTTGCAGGGTGGAACTCGTCATCTCCATTCTGAAATCGTAAAATGCTCCTTTGCCAAACGCATATTTTTTAAGGTGGCGGCGTTAGTACGATTGAACGGAAGTCGAAAGTCTTCTCAAACAGAGCCTTACTCAAATTCTAAACTCGGCGGAAAAGTTTTACCTACAAAATTTAAAATAGAACATTTAAATGACTATTTTTAATAAATTAAACGTATTTTAAGCCTTAAATAAATAATTGTCCTCCACGTGAAGCTCATTTGATTGCTGAATGCATACAATATGTTAAAAAAAAACATCATTGGCATTTGTAAGAGATCTACATTGACTTGGCTTCGCCAAATATGATTATTAAAAAAAGAAAAATCGATGCAAAATTATTTATTTTAAATATATATATATATATTTATTTATTTATTTATTTATTTACATATCTAACATCTACTTTTAGCTTGTTACATTCATATGGCCCACTTTTTTCATATCACATCAAATAAATTACTTTTTTTTTTACAATTAAAAAGTGACATAAAAGTTTTCATGAATAGGAAAAGTAGTATATATGTGATGCATATAAAACTGAAATTTAGAGGTTAGATATATAAATACTTAGGAATTTACCGGTATATATGTAAATCTTTTTTTTTATATATTTGTATTAGCAAGGAAGGTTTGGATTGATTCTCAGAAAAAGAGTGTATTATAGGGGAAAATTTTGCGTAGTAAGACGTACGCAGCGTCACGTACGTCAGTAGATTGTACAGAGGATATTGAGGGGTTATATCCGCGTTGTATCTCCTGCAACCTACAAATATATGAAAATAGAAACGCGGAACTTATTTGTAAGTTACAGGTAGGTTACATGTAGTTTACATAGAAGTTACAAAAATGTATAACGTGAATATAACCCTTTAATGTCATCTGAATAACCTCCCCCAACGTATGCAGCGCTGCGTGTGTCTTATATTATAGACCAAAGAATTTCAAAGTTTTAACAGAATTATCAAATACTTATTAATAATTGTAAATAGTTATTTTCTTGATTAGTATAACGTCTCCTTATGTAGTTATGTGACTTTTGGGCACGCTCCTCTTATTTGAATAGAGTAACCAATATAAATGTTTGATTCACATAACTTTCTTATAATTAGTACTTATTAATCATATTTTTGTATTATAAAAAGATTTATTATGATTCATAATAAAAAATTTTAATTACATGAAAATTATTTTGCTCAATTTATTTGATTGAGGATTTAATAATATTATTTATTAAGTGTTATTTGAATCGGCTACAACACAACTTATATTGCTTAGTTGCCTAAATCCTCAATATATGCACAATATATAGCAAATTATTAATCTTGAGTCTCAATATTTTCTTAAAGTTATTTGATAAGTAATTAATCGATCATTTGGTTAGCTGCAAAAGGAGTGTATTGCATTTCTTTTACATGAGTTTCAAAACTTTTGGTGTTTGGTTGGATGAATTTCTAATGAAATTTAAAATTATAATGCGCTTAGAATTTGTTCTTTAGTTCCTTTTCAATATATTGAATTAGCTTGATTTGCGTAAATTTTGTATACACCACTTCACCACTGTGTAATTGCATGTTGCTGCCTGCCAGCCACCTCTCATCATCAGCCACCTCTCATCACCAGGGCATGACAGTTTTATTGATGTCTGTTGCCCACCATCCATATATGTGCTTCACACTAACCCAAACAACTTTAAAAATATTTCAAATATAGTACATTGTATTTACATTGCATTGTGTCTACACTGCATTCCATTTTCAGTATACTAAAAACCCCCAAAATAATTTTGAATATTTAGAATACAATACATGAGAATCATTAAATAATGGTAGAAAAATTTGTTGAATTCTACCATCGGTTATTTATAGGCCAAAGTTGTGGCTGAATAAAATTCAACATTTAGTGGTTGAATGACAACTCATGATTCAGCTAGATTAATTTATCGGCAAAAACATCTGTTGATTTTTCACTTGTTTTTTATCTTACTTAAAAGCAATGTATTATCAGCTAAGATTTCAGTCAAATAGTCTAATGACTATGTTGAATCCAAGCTTATATGTGAATCACACCCAAGAAATAGTGTAAATGAGAAGGGAGAGAGACAAAGAGAGATAAACATCAGAAAAATAATGTTGTTATTAAATGATTTCCCTATTCATAAATGATATAATACAATATTGATATTTCACATTTACACCCATTTGGAGAGGGTTTGTACTAGGCTATTTAAGATATTTTACAAGTGATAGGTTATCATTTGGTTGCCTCCCTACTCGGTCAGCTAAGTTTAGTTGATTTGTTCAATTGGGTTAGTTCAGTTGGCTGAGCTTGGCTGGTAAAGTTAGTTCAATTGACCCAACCTAGTTGACCTTTTTCAATCTTTGGTAAAGAGTCATTGGGTTTTTGTTGGATGGTTGAGGATACTTTGTGGAACTGACTCTTATATTGGGTCAGCTCCATTACGTGATAGGCTACTACATCGAGTTGGGTTTCCCATAGTCGACGATTCAGATGCTCTCGTCTTTTTTATGATCGAATGGCTAACACTTGGGCCCTCGGCCTTCTTCTTATTCGCCTTTTGGCTCGATCGAATTTGGCCTAGTTGTCTTGGCTCGTATGGCTTGACTCATTCAATTTGGTAGGTCTCTCGATCTCTTTGCAGAGGATCTGCCTCCCTCATATTCTTCTTTTCTAGACTTTTAGATCTATATAAGAATGGTGCAAACACCTTTTTTATACATACTTAAGTTCACTGAATATATTAATTCTTGAAAGCAATGATGCAATAAAAATAAGAGAGCTAAATACAAAAAGGAGATCTTCTTCAATTTTAATTAATGATTAAAATATTGAATTTCCTTGATTTTGGTGCCTCTAATTCTTATAAATAGGGAGATG